ACAGCAAGTGAGCATTAACGGCACTAAGTCCCATTGGAGCAACGTCACAAGTGGAGTTCCCCAAGGCTCAGTACTTGGACCATTATTGTTTATTATATACATAAACGACATAGATATCGGCATAAACAGCAACATAAGTAAATTTGCTGATGACACTAAAATAGGACGTGTTATCAAATCTGACGAGGAGTCGGCAAAACTACAAGAAGATCTAAAAAAATTTTCGAATGGTCTGAAAAATGGCAGATGAAATTCAACGTTGACAAATGTAAAGTACTCAGTATAGGAGATGTAAACAGGGAAACCAGATGCCATAGAGAAATCCGACTGCGAGAGGGATTTAGGAGTAATGATAAGTAGGAACCTTAAGCCAAGTAAACAATGAGTTTTTGCTCGTAACAAGGCTAACAAAGTACTGGGGTTCATACAAAGGAGTGTTAGTTACAAGACTACTGAGGTCATCCTAAAACTGTATCTTGCTCTTGTGAGACCACACCTGGATTACGCAGTTCAGTTCTGGTCACCGTATTACAGAATGGATATAGAATCCTTGGAAAGAATTCAGAGGAGAATGACAAGACTAATCCCGGGCATTCGGAACCTTGAGTATAGAGACAGGTTAAAGCATCTTAATTTGCACTCCCTTGAGAGACGTAGAGCGAGGGGCATCCTGATAGAGGTGTATAAGTGGAAGGCAGGGCTAAACAAAGGGGATATTACAAAGGTACTCAAATTATCCAACCAGGAGCGAACTCGTAACAATGGTTTTAAATTAGACAAATTTAGATTTAGGCGTGAAATAGGTAAACACTGGTTTGGAAACAGAGTAGTGGATGAATGGAACAAATTACCAAATATCATCATTAACTCGAATACGCTGAATTGCTTCAAACATAGGTTGGATGCTCATATGAGCAATAGGGGTTGGGTGTAAACGGGACTGCCCAGTATGGGCCAATAGGCCCGCTGCAGTTTCCTCCATTCTTATGTTCTTATGTTCTTATGTAATGTACAGTATTTAATATAAAAATGCAAAAAGAGCTATAAAAACAATTAATACTGTACACCCGTAAAGTACTGGCTGGCATCTCCACTCGTCCCCGTCTCTGCTCCCGACTCCAGTATCACTACTCCCACCCGCTCTATACCTCCGCCTCCACATCGTCACTTCTGCCGACAACAAACACAAATGTTTTGTGAATAACTGCACCTCCACTTCCTATGTACAGTACTGAACTGTACTGTGCTGTGCATTTTTACAAACAATAAACATAACAAGAAAAGCAATAAAAAACGTGATAAAAATTTCACTTTACTGTCCTCGGCGACAGGACGGGGGTCATCGGGCTCATCGTCACTCAATTCCATAACGGGTGGTGAAGTCGGGACGACGGTGGATTCAGCTGCTTTCTCACTGCCGCCAGTGATTGATGGTGTTAAATCTCTCCTTCGGCGATCAAAGAACACAGTGAAGGGGAGTTGTCCTCTCTTTCTTTTCATTTTTTCCATGATTTTTTTGTATGGAGCAAAAACGTCATCCATCCCTCGCATGAATTTCAGGGCACGCACCATGGAGGGGTCCATACTCTAGGCCATGTTTTTCAGTGCCTCAATATTCCTGGTCATCTCCCCCAACTTCTCCAACGTTATTTTTTGTTGCTCTTCCTCTTCCTCATCCTCTTTCCCTTGCACTGCCTCTTCCTCTTCCTTGCCTGAGTCTACTAACTCCTGTAGATTCTCCTCGGTCAGCTCAGTGTCATGCTCTTCAATCAGCTCCCTAATCTCGTCCTCTGCCATGTCCTGGAAGCCTTCAGCAGCCACTTTCCTTGACAGTGCCAGGGTCTTTCTCACCGCCTCTGCGATGGCTTTGTCAGTTGAAAATCCAGTGAAATCTTTCACACATTCAGGCCACAGTGATTTCCAGCAGGCATTCACTGTCTCAGGCTTCACGTACTTGAACGATTCAGCCACCACAGATACGCAGTTGGCAATGTTGAAGCTCTTTCAGTACTGAATCACATCCAGGTTTTGGTCATGGTCTAAGGCTGAGTGCAGTCTGGCCATCACACGTTTACTGTAGTTAGCCTTGAACGTCTTGATAACTCCCTGGTCCATTGGCTGGACAAGTGCTGTGGTGTTGGGTGGAAGGAATAACACCTGTACCATTTCATGCAACACCTCCACTGACTGTGGATGACCGGGAGCATTGTCGAGGATTAGCAGGATCTTGAACTCAAATCCTTTCTGGTGCAGGTAACGTTCAACCTCTGGCAGGAAACAATGGTGGAACCAGTTGAGAAACAGTTCGCTCGTTGTCCAGGCCTTTATAGTGTGCATCCAGAAAACAGGCAGCATGCTCAAGTCGCGGCGTTGGAATGCACACGGTTTCTTAGACTTGTAATGAAGCCTGGGCGAATGAGGTGACCTGCAGCATTGCCACAAAATAACACGGTGCACCTGTCCTTGGCTGCCTTGAATCCTGGTGCACGGCGTTCTTCTTGGGTAATGAAAGTGCGCTGTGGCATCTTTTTCCAGAACAAACATGTTGGAAAAGAAAATAGTACACCCTGTACTATTATACATGTACGGTATCAAAAATCGGTATAAAAATATAAAAATATTACAGCACACTGTATGGTAAATCACTATGGAATAAAAATATAAAAGTTACTGTATAAAAATCAGACGCATTTATCCTGTTTTCTCTTACAACACAATACAGCACGTACAGTACAACAGGTATTTGAGCATTTTTAAGGTTAAAGGTACAGTACAGTAGTAATTTATTGTCTTACCTGTTTCATCCATATTCCAAACTTGTTCTGACTCGTATTCCTGCTCCTCGAGTATTGCTTTCAACTCTGCTGGGAAAGCTTTCGCGGCCATGGTGTCTGCTGATGCACCCTCCCCAGTCATCTTCACATTCTTCAGGCCGAATCGACGCCTGAAATTGTCAAACCACCCCTTGCTGGCTTGGAAAGGTGTCGGAGGTGTCTCAGGTGTAGGGGTAGCAGCACTGGTACTGGGTAAGGGTTCCTCAGCTACAGGCGTGAAGCGTGTGTGTAGAGACTTAGCTTTCTCCCGGATAAGGATAGAGTCCACTGCTACACCTTTCCGGTGCTGGTCCTCTATCCACAGAAACAAGGCATTCTCCATCTTCACCAATGCCTTCTCCCTCACTTGGCTGACATGCTTAGCACTGCGTGGAGCACTGGCACTTACAGCATCACAGATATCTTTTTCCCTTTTCTTGATGGTACGTACCGTGCTTTCATTCACGTTGTACAGTCACCCCACAGCAGAGAACGACATTCCCTCCCTTAACTTATTCAACAACTCCACCTTCTCCTGCAGAGTCATCACTTTCTTCTGGCGCTTAGGGGTGGCTCACGCTGGTGTCTTTGATGCTCTTTTAGGGGCCATGGTAAATGTGGGTAGCAAGGGAAGCAACTACAATTCTGATGTTAACACAAGCGTGGTTACAGCGAGACTGACTGAGTGACGGAGCGCGGAGTGGCAGGGTGGGGTGATGACGCGCTATGCGTGTGTGTGTGCGTGTGTGTGTGTGTGTGTGTGTGAGGTTGCGGGAGCGAGCGGTGTCCCGTGTTCGGTGCCACGCGTGAGTTGAACGGCGCGCGATTTGAATGTACTTCAATGTACAGAATATTCCTCCGGTGGGGCAATCCGCGTATTTGCAAATCCGTGTATGCTAAACCCGTGTATGTTAAGGGCCGACTGCACTACATTTTTATATCTTGAGCAAAATAAATGAAGTTTATATTCAAATTATTGGCTGTCTTGCAAGGATTCCTGCAATGCAAATTATAATCTCCTAACTTTAGTCTGAGATATTATATAAAATATGCACCTTAAAGAATAAAGTTATCACCAATCTTTTGTCTGGGAACACGAGAAGGGAGGTAGCCAGCGATGCATGGGGGGGGGGAGTGAGGTGACAGAGTGTGGTGTTTGTTTATTTATTTGAGATAAGATGTGACAGTTGGCGCTGAAGGCCTACATGTTTATTTACCATTACTTAAGAGTGACTAAGCTCTTCTCATTATTTGCCACCCAAACGACCTGGGTGAATATAACTTACATTGCAGGGATTCTTGTAAGATAGTGATTTATTTTAATACCTGTATAAACAATCTATATTTGCAATAGACATAACAATTTAGGTACCGTAAATCATTTAGCACATGTACAGTACAGGTTTGTTTCAAGTTAAATCTTTTGAACAACGAAAAGCGAAAGTCATTTCCATACTTATTTCTGAGAATATATTCATTCAGTCACAGTTAAGGTAAAATATACTTGTGATGTAATATTTTAATGAAAATACCAGGTATTTAGAAATATGGTATTGTAGTTTTCTTTTGTTTCAAATTTAATTAACAAAGATTGATGTTTCAAATGTAATGAACAAAACTTTATGTACAGTATCTACAAATAAACTTTAAAAAATGAACACTTTATGTTTTACATCGTCCTGTGCATACCATACCATGCATTTGGCTACCTTGGGCTTGCTATGATGACACAAGAGATCTGCCCTGGCAACTGTACCTACACTCACAGCTGGTAGTGCGTTGGTGCGTCGTTTCCATTGTTTACTGGTAGTTACTGGTAAATATTTTTCAACCTAATGAAACTATTACCCGTTTAGAGGTCGACCCCCAATATTTTGCCAAATAATTTGGTCTTAAAAACTCGAGCTACACACAGGTATATCCGGTAAATAAGGACATGGGGGGCCAGGTTTTTTTTTAGGTTTTTAGGGGGGGGGGGGCAGCAAAAGTACACGGATTTTTAACATTCACGGGTATCTCTGTTACCTAACCCCCGCATATGTTAATAGCCGTCTGTACACTGCAATACAGTTGTCCCTCGGTTAACAATGGACCTAAGTGCAAACCTGTACTGTACATGTACAGTACTAAAATTGCTATGTCTATTGCAAATATAGCTTGTTTATACAGGTATTCAAATAAATCACTATCTTACAAGAATCCCAGCAATGTAAGTTATATTAACCCAGGTTATTTGGGAGGCAAATTATGAGAAGAGCTTAGACACTCTTAAGGAATGATAAACACGCAGGCCTTCAGCGCCAACTGGCAAATCATATTGCCTCACCTCCCCCCCCCCCATGCGTGGGGGTGGTTTTAGGCCTTAAGTTTTTCATATACCTGTAATATCTCAGACTATAGGAGAATATAATTTGCATTGCTGAAATACTTGCAAGACAGAGCTTAATTTGAATATAAACATCATATATTTTTCTCAAGATATAAAATTTGTAGTACATTAGTGTACATTTTATAATATAAAGTTTTTCAACTGTATTTTTGGGTAGATTCAAATAAATTTCTTCAATTATTTTCATCCATTTACATGCACACACCATACTAAAAGAAACGTAAAATAAATAAATGACCTTAGTGCAAAGCTGGAGTGCACATGTATTAATTTGATTACGGTACTAAAATTGTTATGTCTAGTGCAAATTATAGCATGTCTATATTCAAATTAATCAGTATCTTACAAGAATCCCAGCAATGTAAATTATATTCACCCAGGTCATTTCACTGGCTTTTTATAAGAGAGAAGCTTAGTAACTTAAGACTTGATAAATAAACACACGTTAGACCTTGGGCCGGTGCCAACCCTCCAACGTACCACCTCAACTCCCCCCCCACGCTCGCTCCCTCCCTCCCTCCCTCTCCCCCATCTGCCCGGCGTTGCTGGAATCCTTGTAACACAGTGAATAATTTTAATATAAACGTCATGCATATTGCACAAGAGATAAAAATTACTCACCTGTATCACATTACAGTAGTGATTTAAGAGTAAGAGTGTATATGTACGTATATAGTATTCCACATACACGTAAGTATAAATACAAAGTTTATGTAATGATCGGACAACGTCCATTTCGGTAAACGTCACGTTTCCAAGAAAGTATCTAGGACGTTAACCAGCACATATATATATATATACAGTAGTACCCTGATTTACGCGGTCAACTGAACCCACAGGGTACCGAGTAAAGTGAAAACCGAGTAAAGTGAACAACAGAACATATGGGATTAATTCCAATAGAGACTGGCCCGACCTCCAAACTCTACTTTTTGACGATACACAACTATGTTGTAGTAAAAATATTATCTTAACTTTATGATGGTATGCACACACAATTAATAATTAAGAGAAATATCAATAATATTAGTTTTTTTAAGACTTACATTAATAGAAAAGATGGCTGGGCACACAGGGATGGGGGGTTGATTCCGAGGCAGAGGGTAGATTATTGGCCCTCACCCACTTGTATCAATTGTATCACTATCCACCACATAGGCTTGCAGGGCCTCTTTGTCAAACCCCTCAAAGTCGAAATAAGTCCATATCCTCACTGTCACTATCACTGACTTAGGCCGGCTGTGGTGGGTGGCGGGTGAAGAACTCGGTAATGTTTTGATGACTGGGCGACCTTGTGCACATCCTGCCAGCGCCGCTTCCCGCGTATATGAGAAGATGCACAGCGGAAAGTGAAAGTTCGGTTCTGGCGAGGCACCGCGTAAATGAGAAATCGCGGAAAGTGAAACCGCGTAAAGCGGGGTAATACTGTATATATACATATATACTGTATATATATATATATATATATATATATATATATATACACAGTAGTACCCCGCTTAATGCGGTCAATTGAACCCACAGGGTACCGTGTTAAGTGAAAACCGCGTTAAGTGAACAACAGAACATATGGGATTAATTCCAATAGAGACTGGCCGGACCCCCAAACTCTACTTTTTCCGACACAATACCTATGTTCTAGTAAAAATAACATCTTAATTTTATGATGGTACATGCACACAGTTAATACTTAAGAGAAATAGAGAAATACAGTCGCCAAGTTAATGTCCATTCAAATAATGGACTCAACTCCCTCCCCCTCTTCTCACACTACACTCCCTGGCTCTTCCCTCTTGAGAAATTTTGGGGGGAAAACCACTAAATTTTAATAAATAATACCTCAAACTAAAGTTAGGATAATATAATTGACATTGCTGGATTCCTTGTAAGACCAGGAATATTTTGAATATAAATGTCATATATTTTGCACAAAAGATAACATATTTACTCAGAGTAAACATTATATCTAAAATTTGTATGTCTAATGCAAAATCTATGATGTTTATATTCAAAATGATCATCAAATTGTAAGAATTCCAGCAATGTAAATAATATTCTGACCCGGTAATTTGTATGAATTTTATGAGCTAAAACAAATATCTTCAGTTAATATAAAAAAAAATATTCTTCACAATGCTATCTGTCAATCAAAGTACCCCACCTTGCCTCCCCCCATCTTCCAACCGCGCGGTCCGTCCCAACCCTCCCCCCCACCCCCCACCAATACTCCCTTCAAGAGATGTTGGGTGAAAAAACTAAATTTTAACATTTAGTATTAAATAATACCTCAGATTAAAGTTAGGATAATATAATTGACATTGCTGGATTCCTTGTAAGACCAGGAATATTTTGAATATAAATGTCATATATTTTGCACGAAAGATAACATATTTACTCAGAGTAAACATTATATCTAAAATTTGTATGTCTAATGCAAAATCTATGATGTTTATATTCAAAATGATCATCAAATTGTAAGAATTCCAGCAATGTAAATTATATTCTGACCGGGTAATTTGTATGAATTTTATGAGCTAAAACAGGCAGGCAGGCGGGTGGCGGGTGGGGCGAATCTAAAAATAGCATCTCGAGCCGGACACCCTGCGCGTATACGTGGAAAAAACCCGCGTTAAGTGAAAGTTCGGCTCTGGCGAGGCACCGCGTATACGTGAAATCGCGCTAAGCGAAACCGCGTTAAGCAGGGTATTACTGTATATATTTTTTTTCAGTGAAGACGAGACCGGGAGGGCGAAAAACAACGTCATTCACGAAGTGACTAGAAAGCAGAGGATATTAGATTAGTCACTAACCATCTAGCGACTTCATAATAGAAGATGCGCTGTATTATTAGGATGACACGTCGCTACCTGGCATTTAATTGCAATTCTCAAACCCCTCGTTCACCCCCCACTATGCGCATCATGAACCTCATCTCTTGCCTCAGAGAGAGCAGT